GAAAATGGTGGCCAAAGTGATTCATAAATGTTGTGGTATTTTTGTGGTATGTTTCAGGCGTCACCATCAACCAAATTAATAACATCAATAAAAAAATTTTCGATAAGTTGATGACTGAACGCGCGCGGGCTCAGTCATTGAGCACAATTCTCATCAAAACAAATGCGTTTTCCTTTTTTGATTCGAAACTTTCTTCCTCTCTCTTTCTTCTTTGCCGGTATGTATTTCAAATAAAAAATGTCTTTTCACTTGGCACAAACAACAACATCCGAAAATTAAAAGACATATGCTTATTAATTGATAAAAATGTAATTAAAGCACATCCCAATGAGGAAAACGTTACAGTTGTACACATTTTGTGCACAGCTTATGGAGAAATTACATTGGCCGTGCACAAAATGTGTACAACTGTAACGTTTTCCTCATTGGGATGTTGAATGCGATCGAAGCGAGTATAACAGAAAACTACTGTGGGTAGTCGAAATGAAATGATACAACGGAATCAAAATTAATCGCTTCATAGATTTAGATTTCAATGCAATCGTGGACAGTCAAAGATATTCATGAATGAAATTAAAATAATTGTGGCCAAAGCGAGCGAGCGAGAGATTGAGGCGCTGTGTGCTGCACTCATTTCAACATTTCGACTCCAATTATTATGAGTTTAGCTGTGCGCAAACGTCGGATATGGCCTACAATACGAACGGTGATTAACATGTCATGTTCGTTTATCGTACTGATTAGTAAGTGAAATGAATGGATATGAATTTTGAATGCACACATTTAAATGCGAGCCGAAGCAAAAGAGAGTTTTTAATGTAAATTTCAATATTCGGTTGGACAGCACGGCACTCGTATTTTGCGCATCACTTGAAATTGTCCGACAAAAAAATGTAAATAAGATAGAAATGCCATTAGGAAGAGAGAGAGAGAGAGAGAGAGAGAGAGAGAGAGAGAGAGAAAGAGAGAGAGAGAGAGAGAGAGAGTCGAGTGAATGAATGCTCAAACAAGTGTACGTTTAAAATGGTGTACGATTATAAAGTGGAGGAAGTAATTACTTGAGTGCACGCATTTAGTATTGTGATGAAAATGAAAAGTCCGTCGAAATTGGTGGTCCAATTAGAGGCAAACCGTTAATGAGCTCATAAATAAAACGTGCTACCTCATTTTATCCATGACAATTGAAACTTTCAACACTTTAAAAGAAATGAATCAATTTCTCTTATCTTTCTCTCTCTTTTCTCTCGTTGCACTTTCAATTAACAGGCGGAAAAGTCAACTCATTAACATGGAATATTACCCGCTTGTTGACATTCTGAACACGACACTATCATATGCTTGAAAATCACGTTTTATTTCATGGCCTTCACATTGTATTTGAGAAAATTTAAGAAAAAGTTGAGAAAATTTGTCGAATACAATCGTTTTCTTTCAAAAGTGTTTGAAAAGAAACTAAGGTAAACCAATAGTTCTTTCATTCAGAAGCGTTTGTTAATTTTTCGTTCACATCAAATGGGAAATCCGTCACGGACATCCTTTTGAATTGTTCATCAATAGTAGATCACATTCAATTCCATGATGTTTATCGAACAATTTTGATGTCGTCTGCATAAAATCTGATTGATTGCGTCAAAATTCGCAATTGTTTAGGAAAGTTGGACGCAAGTCACCACTGAATGTTCTAGACTCAATGTGTTGGAATTATTCCGTCAGTCTACTCATTTACGGTGTTCTTCATCATCTTTTTTGAAAAATATTGACAACTTTTGTGGTTTTTACCCTGCAAAATTCTTGGCAAACGACGACTTACCTTTTCCATATGCGGTGCTATTGAGCTAATCAGTGCTCAATTTCATTTTTTATTTTAAATTAAGGCCATCGATTTGGTGTCAATTTGTGATTTTCCGTATTTTTTTTCGAAGTCTTGCTTTGAATGCAACATTCAATCGCGTGGCTGACACGCCGCAAAAATGGAACTGATTTTCTTAAAAAAATGATAAAAGAACGTGTGCACGAGTTTAATGTTCATCCTGTTCATAGAAGCTGTTGCCTGTTTGGTACAAGTGATGAAAATCGTTTGATCTTCATTGATGTGCGGTACAAGTACAGCAAATTAAATATCATATAGCAAAGTGATTAGGCAAACGGCAGCAGCCGCCGCAACACCATTGACGTCAAGCCATCCAAGAATAGCAAAACGTTATCTTATTAGTGTTTGTGTTGAATTTACAGCTCGATTTATATTATCAAATGTTTGTTTAATTCTGTTAATTTTTTTTTTCTTCATCATCATCATCATGTTCGTTTTGACTAGAGATGTGAAATTCACACAGGCATCCACTTGCAACATCGGGTTAGACGCACGATGAGAACGAAAACAAATTCTTTCGTATGTTCGAAGCTCAAGCGTATCATGCGCATATGATTGCTGTTGCTGCTGCATCGTTGTTGTTGACTTATTTTGCTTGGTGCAACGTTTTGTATTCTCTTAAGCCTGGCATTGATTTATGTGCACATTAACTGTGTTTAAATGGCTTACAATGGAAAGGAAAAAAAACATAGCGTGGACCAAGTGAGATAGCGATAGCGAAAGAAGTGCACGGAGTCTGCGAGTTCTCGTTTACAGGCTCTGTAAAACAATAGTGAGTTTGATTTTAATTGCTGGCGCATACTTGAGCTGAGTTACGAAGGAGGATTTCTTTTGAACTATTTCCATCTAGTTTTTTTTACATTGCTATGTGCCCCACTCAGAATGAGTGCGATGGAAAAAAATTGAGAGCGAGAGAAAGAGGCAGAGCGAAAAAAAGTGGAGAAAAACTGGAGCAAAATGAAAATTAAACTGCACAATTGTGTTCGATTTGTGTGTGTGGATGGAAAATGAACGAAGCAATGCATTTTCCGTTGTTGTGCCTGTGTCTTCGAATGCGTCCGAATTTTCCAATTACTCGCTTCGTGTCAATTTCGCACGGCAATTCATTTATCTTGAGCACAAACCGAATCGCACCTTTCTGGAATGTAGAACATGAACAGTGCGGCATTGCTGGTGATGAACTCAACACGCCATACCATACCACACACACACACACACACACACACACACAGCAGAGATACATACACACACTTCCCTAAAACGGGACAATACCATTGTACACTGTCGCTCTGTGTCCAGGCGCAATTAACGAAACAAATTACCTCATTTCGTGTATTTAAACTCATTTAAACTGTTTATCTAATTTGCGTATTTTTAATCTGAATAATAAATTAATTGAACGTCAAATCGGATAGGTTTTACTTTTATTCGTCGTTGTCGTCGTCGTTTATTTGTTATTTTTGTGTTGTTGTTTTTTTCGCACAGCTGAAAGTTGTCGAAGCCCATCCAAATGCGAAATGCAAAAATCTCGTAAAAACAACGCTGAAGTATAAATAGATGATAAAAACATAGATATATATCGTGTGTGGACACTTACATGTTTTGGTTTTGCTGTTCTGTGCACCACCGTCGCTATCGTCGTCATCATTTGATACACATTTCGGTTCAAAATAGACTCCACACAATTATTATTAATAATAATATATATGCAACGCACGTCCAATGGTGTATGCGTTGTGGGCCAGGCCATACCAAGCCTAGTGGAAAATTCTATGGTGTGATAGAAGAGCACACGTAGACAGAAGAGCAGAGCGGCAAGAGGGAGCATGCGAAGATAATTAGTGATAATTAATTATATGTGTACGTAATTAAAAACGTATAAAATTTAAAGAGATTGTTTGGGCTCTGTTTACTAACTCTTTGTGTTTGTTTGTGTCTCTCTCTCTGTGTGTGTGTGTTTGTTGCTGGCTGCTGTTGCCGCTGTGACTGCCGCTATTAAGCGCATTTTGTTTTTCCTACTATTATCATTTATAATAATTATTTTTCGTGGTTTCGCTTTCATGTTCGCGCGTTTGTTCTCATATTCATACGACTTTGGTTTTGTGTGTATGTATGTATGTTCACGCCAGCGTGCGCGCGCGCGCGTTCGCATACACTTGATGTTGTTACCTTTTTTCCACATCTATAATTGATGCAAATTAATTTTCGCATGAGCCAAAACATATACAAAATGCTTTTGTGTGTACATTTTCCTCTTTTGATTGCATTACTCGTGTGCCTTGTTTGTCTGTTGTTGCTGAGCCTGTAGTAAATTGTTGTCTTCGGCTTTGTGCATGAACGCATTTCAGCTCATGTGTATATAGAACAGCACGCGCGCGAGAGAGAGAGAGAGAGAGCGAGAGCTGCGCAGCTACACAAGGGACACGTTTATCCAATTTGGATCCCCACTTAGTAGCAAAAATGATGCGTGAATTTAATATTTGTAATTTCCATTAGAAATCTTAATGACATGTATGCGCTTGATGATTTGTCGCCGGAGATTTTTATTTGATTTTCCGTCCTTTTTTTTCAATCTCTGTTTACATTTGCACTTCTACTTCTTTACTTATTTGTCTTTTTATTATTATTACTTGTCCTCGCTCAATGCAACATTTTCTTCTGTATTTGCAGTCTGCGTTTTGTTTTTCTTTCCTTTTAGCTCAAAGACTCAAGCTACTTGCTTTGTTCTTTGTCGGTTTGAATATTTGCCTGTTTGAACAGTTTGTGTGAGAGTAAAGAGAATGGGACAGCTAGTAGCAAGTACATTCGATGCATCCAAAATTATACAAGACCACAGTAAAAAGACCAATATTTCATGTCGCGGTGACAATTTTGTGCAGCAACAAAGAAAAAGTGTTTATTGACATTAATTACAGTGATTTGAATTTTCGGTAGTTTTTTCTCAATATTTCGCTCTATCTCTTTTTCGCTCTCTCTTGTTCCACTCTCCTTCGTCTCCTTCTTCTTCTGCGAAAGATGGCTCTTTTGGAAAACGGCAACATTTTCACCAAAGATTCTCCGGGCTGTAAGATAAAAGGCAGGCAGGATACGTTTAAGAAAAGGAAAATGAAAAGAAACATGAAACGTCCAATTTAAGTGTTCATTTTGTAGTTGTACATTTATTTAGATTTTCTCTTTACATTACGCTAATAGATTGAATCTTAAACGGTAATTCTAATGCTATCTATACAGTTTACAGCTATTTTGGGTAAAATAATGCAATGAAATCGAAACTGGTGTCGAAGGGATTTGGGGACGAGCAAGCGAGTGAGCGACGAAAACCGAATGAATGGCCAACGGTCCGGTTGGGATAGCATTTTGTCCAATATTTTTCTCATTCTCATTCGTAAACGGAAGACGGATGTTTTTTCTGGCTCGCTTGGGCTTGCATGTCGAATGACTGACGAAGAAAAAAAAAACGAGACCAAACACAATGAAACATGTTTCGCACGCTTCGGCCAAATTGCATCGATGGCGTTGGCATAGTGCGTTGGTTAAATTGACGAAACCGTTTCGTTTCACATTCAACATTAACTGATATATTTGGTTTTAATGTCATTGCGGTTTTGATCACTCGCTCGCCTCGCCTCGCAATTTTCATGCAAGCGGTTTGGTCGATATCTATCGTCCCTTCGACTAAACAAGCACACATTTCGGCAATTTTCTTCTCTACACGGAAATTTCACCATTTGCATTCCGTTACAAATAAATGACTTTATAAATATCATTTTGCATCAATATATATTGCCCAGTGGCCGAGCGGCCCGATTTCAGTTTTATGTGCTGGTGAGTGTGTGTTTGTGTGTGTGCTTGTGTGTATGCAAAAACACTTGCATTTTACTTCCCTAACGGACTAATACTACCAATGCAATTAAATGTTGATAAATGTGAAACGGTTTTTGTCCTAAATATTGAGAATGGAAAATGGTTGAGCTCAATAGATTTTTCCTTTTTTCTCTCTCTCTCTCTCTCTCTCTCTCTCTCTCTCTCTCTCTCTATCTCTCTCGAATGTTCATTATCAATATGAATTTACAATATATGCTCTTATATTGCGGATTTCTTGTATGTGTATATGTATATAGGTGTGTAGATCTTGTTCTTATAACATGTGCTTATTTACAGTACTCTCTTCGACAATAGTGGGCTGCTCTTGTCGTGTTCATCTTCAACGCTTATTTCATCAATTTGTTATTGCTGTGTGTGTGTGTGTTTTTCCTCTCTCTCTCTCCCTGCATTTCTTTTGTATTATTCTTCGCTTATATTTATTCATGTTTTTCTTTTATTATTATCACAATATTATCCTAGCTTCAACTTTAAGTGCATGAAAACTGGATTCGCTTTGTTTACACTTTTGCATGTCTTTGCTTTAAAACCACTTCTCTCCATCTCGTTCGCTCATTCGGCGTGCGTTCATCTTTCTTTCCTTTTCATCGTAGCGGGTTAGAAAATAAAAATCAATTTTAAAGGTTGATATACTCTTTTGCCATCTGATCGCACGAGAACCACAGCAGTTTGAAAGACAGCTGTCATAGCATGCACTGCACGAAGTGAATGGTTCGAGAGAAAAAAAATTGTCCATTTTTGCAACTGTTATAAAATTTCAAACCAATTTTTTTTTGCCATCGTTTCGTTCTTTTTATTTCGTTCGTATTCGGTTGCGTTGACGGTCGTCAGTTCCTTTTAGCGACATTTAACGACACAAATGTGACGCCGCTTAAAATCAATGCAAATTCAGTGAAGTTTGGCGTTTCTACAAATTAGCCGATCGATGCAAACTTCAATACACACACACACTCTAATTGCTTTTGTTTTTCATCGGCGGGTCTAATTGAGTAGCGTCGCCAAATCGAATATTTAGTTAATAAATAATGAATTTTTGCTCAATAATTTCTAATAATATTTTTCTCTCTCTCCCTCTGTTTTAATAGGAATCTATGAATAAATTTTTCCTTTCCTCTACTTATGAAGCAAAGAAGATGTGACCTAATGGGGTACGCTTAAATGCCAAACATCTCTCATTGAATGGAAATCATGTGAAATTTTGCTCATATTTTCCCAACAAAAATCAATAAAACATGTTTTAGCTGTTCGATTGGAACTGGCACAATTATAATTATTTCTGTGTTCATTTGATGTAGTTTAACAACTTAACGATATCCTTTTTTATCAATCACCTTTTCAATCTTTTGAGTTGGTATTTCATTTTTGTATTAGATTCAAGCATTAGATATGTATTAAATTTTTGTTGAATCACAACTTGTTCGCATGTTTTTGTTGGAAATGTAAAGAACTACAGCAAATTGTTGCTTTAGTGGTCCGAGATTGCACAATAGTTCGGAGAAAATTCTGACGAATTCAAATGTAGATGATGAGGCTCGACTGGCTTAAAACCAATTTCTCATTGATAATGCAGGAAAAAAGTGTTCGATATGAAATTCAATTTAATCAGATTAAATTATGACTATTTCGTCTGAATATGCCTCGTTTCTCATAGGGCTTAACACACGTACAGAGGTTTGATTATTTTTAAGACTTGCTTTTAATAATATTTATAAAAAAATCGCGATCTATGCCATTTTCAACTCTTTTCCTCTGGAATTTATGCTTCAATGAATTTAGATTGAATATTCATTTTATTCGCATCGAATCAGATATGAACAAAGAAACCGTCTAAAAATAACCAGTCCAAGTGGTGTGTACCACACGTTTACATACTATTCGTTGTAAGAGTAGCGCTTGCCATTTTTACACGATTTTACAGTTGACCATTCATTCGCATTTCAAGCTCTTCCTCTTCCTTCGTCAACGGCACCGTCGAATGATTGTATAAGCCTTGTGCCATCAATTGCATCGCCAGTGGATTCTTTTGACCGGATGATTTCTTGATTTTGGCTCGTTTATTTTGGAACCAAATTTTGATTTGCGCCTCATTTAAACCCAGCTCCGAGCTCAGCTGCTGACGTCGACGTTCCGTCAAGTAACGATTTTCATTGAATTCACGCTGTCGAAAGAGAAAGAGAGTGCGAGAAAGAGAGAAAACGCATAAATTAAAATGGAAGCGAAAAATTGATTATGAATTTTAGATTCTGAACCCGATTGAATTCATTATTATTGGAGTTGAAATATATTGTAAGTAGAACGAGCGCTTAGTGATTAATCAAATAGATTGGAGTACATGTTCACCTTGAGGCGAGCTAGTTGATCCATTGAGAATGCGGTGCGTGGGCGTTTCTCTTCACTTTCACCTTTGACTTTTGGTACTTTTGGCTTTCGGTATCTTGGTCCTGCAAGACAAGAAAGAAACATAAATCAATTAGTTAAATTCGGAAATTATTCATTCGAACCGAGAAAACTCGTTTCAGAAAATAACACTTAAGGCATAAAAAAAACGATGAACAAATTTGTCCATTGAAAAAAGTGTCAAGATTGTCTCAATTTTCATTGGCAATTAGGTGGTTTTTGCGTGAGTTGAGTCTTCTTCCGCTCAACTTTTTATTCACTGCAATGAGAGAGGGAGAGAGAGAGAGTGATGAAACTGGCCGTACACATTTCCGATTTGCATGAGTTTTTTACGCAGTGTGTGCAGCTCATTTGATTGTGCCTTCATCGTTATTATATGTATTCTCTTCTGTGTTTTTGCGTAAAAACGCAAATATTGCATGCGTAAACATTAATAATGCTTTAATAGTTTTTGCGGTGAGTAAATTGAATATTAAAATTCAATAAATAACTAACTTAATTTTCTTGAAATGGTTGCACAAATGCTCAATGAGTAGCGGTGGCCCTGCAACAATTTATATTTCTATAGAAAGAGAGTAGTGAGAGAGTCCAAAAGGAGCTACAGAGTACACACACACACACCATGATGTTATTGTTTAGTTAATTTCTTTGTATGATGGAAGAATCAACCCCATATCCAACTGTGTACTGAAGCGCACGAATTTGAATGTGCAGAAAGGGAAACACACGCAGAGAAAGAGAGAGAGAGAGAGAGAGAGAACCAAAAACGAAAGCCGAAAGCCAGTGGAAAATATAACTAGGAAATGACCGCAAATGACAAGAAGCATTTGCGTTTTTGGGGCTTTTTGCAATGATGTGACTAAAAAGGTTGCTGAATTTTCGTTCGCACTAATAATAACACTCCAGAAAACCAGTTAAACTGACACCAGCAAACCCGAACATAAAGGAATTAATAACGATAAATGCGACGCAGCGGCAACAACAATAAGGAATTGAACACATTGAACGACGACGACAACGACACACATATAAAATTGTTATTGCATTTTTTGGTCGATGTACAAATTTATTTGTCGTCCAGCTTCAACATATTTCATTGTACTACAATTTCGTTCGCAGTGCCAGTGTTTGAGTGTGGTGTGTGGCTATAACATATGCGTTGCGTAGCGAATTTTTTTTATATTATATCATTTTAGAATCATGTGCCGGCTCAGATATATCCGGCTTGATGAAATGTATGTGCTCCTTGAAGATGACCATAAAGAGTCACTAATGTGAATGAGAATATGATGTGGTCGGGGCCGGGCCGAGCGGTGGTACCACCAAGCAGCATGTACGATAAAACATTGCGTGTCATTTTCCAGTGTAATTATTGAATGGGTATAATTAGGTGGCCTGAGGCTAATGGTTAGACTATCTAGATTTTCTAATAAGGACAAGAATGCCATTGTGGTTCCATCTGTTTTGTATAGGTACACACACACATATATGGTTTGTCTGCAAGCCATTTAGCAGTCAAAACGGTTGGATAGTTGGGTTTAGTTATTCGAACCATTCGAAAAATCCGATCCATTCACAGTTTTTTTTTCCTGTGTTCTGGTTCTTTGATACTTTGGCTCAAAATGCAAACTACACAACCAAATCATTTTTCAAGACTAATTTCCCACTCTTTCGAGCAGTTTTTCATGATGCAGCTAATGTCATAATATTCAATTTTTCATTCAACTTGTTCATTCACCTTACGCATTGAATCTGGTTTTCAACCGAAATCGCACCTGTTTCATCGCACAACATTTATAGAGAAGGTTTCGCAAAAAAGCAAAAGTGAGTAACGAGCAAGACGTGCGTTGAGGTTATTGAGGTCCTTGTTTCATATTACATACATGAACATTGTTATTGATGATGCCAGCGGATGATGAGAATTGTGATGATAATTATTATGATTATTAATGTCAAAGGCAATAACACACAATGAATAGCGGTTTTGTCGGGCGGGCCTCTCGGCTGTCGATGTTCGATCCGACTCGGGTTCATTCAGTGTTTTTTTTTGCGCTAAGTAATATCATTGAACCCGTATGCAAATCGACTCATTATTTTATTTATTTATTTAAAATTCATTACTACAGGCTGTAATAGTCAGTAAAAACTAAGGGAGAGTGCTATTTCGCTGCTGATCAGGCCCGAACTGAGCTAAATTTGCTGACTCAGGGGCCTGAAGCATTATTTTAACGCCGTCACAGTGCAAAATAAGACTTTATGGAAACTAACAACCATAACTGTAGGGACAATTCAATTAACCATAGTTCGTCATCAATAATTCAAGAAAATTGAATTCGATTTGCCTGTAATCGACTAGAGTTTTGGAATGATGAAATCCAAAGTTCTCAAACTTAATTTGGAAAATTTCATGAAAAACGGTATACAGTCAATAGGATTCGTATCGATTCAGTGTTTTCGATGTTCGACGTATCGATGATTCCTACTAGGGATACAAAAAAAGGCGCACATAATGCGTCAGTTTTGCGGTTTTTTGTTCAATTTTGAGTGAGCTGCCGTGTCGCACATTGTTTATTCACTTTGTCAATAAGTATTGGTTGATGTCTATTGAACACAAGGACAACGATGACTGTTATTATAACGAAAATATCCGCACACACACACACACACGAACCCAAAAAAAAAAACCATCTGGATAATCAGAATAAGTTTTTGGCCGAGGTTCGACTCATTGCTCATTTGTTCTCGGATCAACTTTTCGGTGTGTGTGCCGTTGTTCTTTCATCATCATGCTATTACGTTGCGTTTGTGATTCGTAAATTCGTTGCTGTGGGAATAAATTGAGTGAAAACCCTTTGGTTTAGTCCGGGTAATTCAAACGAAACGGCTAATTGCATTCAATTCTTGGTATTGGCTTTGAAAATGTTTCGCGCATACACAAACACACACACATACACATCATGTATGCTGTGTGTGTAGTTGGGTGACATATTTATAGCATTCGAACATTTCTACATAATTTTCCGTAGGTTTGATTTCGAAGAATTAACGCGCTTATTTTATACATTTTTAATTAGCCATGCTGTCAAATTGGCCATTGCTACGCATTAACGACTTGTAATTGGTTTGAATAAGGAGTGAAAAGAAAGAAAAAAACTATGAATGGGTGTTTGTTTCTGTTTTTTTCTCTCGTTTCGGTATTCTTACATACAACGCGCATCATGTGTGTTCTTGAAAGTGTTTTGTACATATGACAGAGCGGGTGAGAGAGTGGAAATTATGAAATTATATCGAAAACCGCAGCCAATGGATATTTGTCGCACTGGCTCGCATTCAAACCCGATTACAAAAATTACGACCGAAAACTTTCGGTTTGAAGCCAACCAACCAACCAACCAATGAGAAAGAAAAAAGGAAAAAAAATCAATTAATTAGGGAATAAGAAAATGATGTCAACACTTCGTTCCAAATAATTTATTACGTTAAGATTGGTCTCCCGCACACATGTAAGGCAGGCGGCGGCGGCGGCAGCGACGGTGGCCACTGTCTTGTCTTGTTCATTTCGGATCACTTGTCGTTTTGGATGTGTGAACCAAATAAAAACTTGTCAATTATTGTCGGACTAATCACATACGCGCCGCCACGCAATACAAAATTTATGCGCGTGGTGAGCCGCTGTGCTCGTCATTCATCGAATAGTAAATGGAAGCATAAGTAGAAAAGAAAAAGAAAACATCCAACAAAAATCCGACTCTAATTAATCGGAAATAAAATGCCGTAATTTTGAAAACCGAACCACTGCTTGCCGCCTCAAATTCATCTCTCAAGTGTTGTACAAAAGACAAGTGGGAGAGAGCATAAACCAATTTAAGTCACCCTAAATGACGATGGAATGCCTCTTGTAAAATTAACAATGACATAAATAATTTTCCGAAAAAAATTGTCTTGGGCACCAAAAACCGAGAAGGAGCCCTCGACTGCGCCTTATTTGTCGCATTTACATGTGTGTGCGTTTTCTTGAGTTCACTCTCTATGTGTGTGTGTGTGTTGCTTGCTCGCGTCCCTCTAATTAAAACGATTTGACTGATTAATTTAAAAATCACTTTGTAAATAATTGCCAGTGTCACACAGCCAATATTTTATTCATGCCATCAACCGAGTCGAACTGAACGTCGACATTTTACGAGCATTTCAATTTATCAGAAATTCAACATTACATATTAGTTACAGTTTCAATTAGGGCGCTTGGCCTTTTTTTCGTTGTGTGTGTGCCAAGTCTACAAGCAATAATAGTTTTTTGGTAGCCGTTTCGAGTGCGCCATCACTAGAAAACGAGTAGAAGAGATAGAGCGTTAATTGTCGCCTTTGCATGTGGCGCATCCAAAGAATATACCCCCGAAAAGTAGGTTCGTTCAAAAATTTCAAATATGTAAATGTGGCGTATATAACCGCCGATTTTTCCCGTCGGACCTGCTACATAGGACATATATGAGTTGTGAATGTGATCACTCTGAGTGTGTGTGCAATGTGTAAACATATCGGTGGCATATTCGGCTGGCAGCGGTGGTGAAGGCAGTTAGCATGAGCCACACACCAAATACACTCATATGCATGCAATTTAATAGAATTTTTTTATGGCAATAATCATTATCGCCACTTGGCAGACGCAACGAATCCTATCCGAAAATTCAGTGTATCAAACAACAATAAATCGTAGTAATAATTGCAGTTGGTTTTTCAGGGCGAGCAAACGTGCGCTCGCGCGCTCGTGGAACAGTCTCTACTCAACCATGTCTATCGGTGTCTATAGATAGGGTTGTGTGTGCAGAATAACGATAGGACAGCCGATGTATCGCGCGCAGCTTTCGTTCTATAGAGATATCGGTTTCGGTTTTTCGCCGATGTGTGTTTTTCCGAAGCGTTATAGATTTGGTAAAATTATTGTTACGTTGAGTGGTGTGGTGGGGCCGCTTCTTTTAACCGTTTCTAATGCCATAGCAAAAATCGCTGTAACGACATGCATACACGATACACACCACCGACATAC